TCTTAAATGAACCAAACTGTACCATAGAATATCTATGGATAGTAATTCCATGCTCTAATAATAAGAATATAGCAGTAGGGATATATTACCGGCCACCCGACCAGGGTAGTGATAGTGACTGTGAAATGCTCAGGGAGATTAGAGAGGCTATTAAAACAAAAACGTCAATAATAATGGGGGATTTCAACTATCCCCACATTGACTGGGTACATGTCACCTCAGGACGGGATGCAGAGATAAAGTTTCTTGACACCTTAAATGACTGCTTCTTGGAGCAGCTAGTCCTGGAACCAACAAGGGAAGAGGCAATTCTTGATTTAGAATTAAGTGGAGCACAGGATCTGGTCCAAGAGGTGAATATAGCTAGACCGTTTGGTAATAGTGACCATAATATAAATTAAATTTAACATCCCTGTGGCAGGAAAAACACCACAGCAGCCCAACACTGTAGCATTTAATTTCAGAAAGGGGAACTACACAAAAATGAGGAGGCTAGTTAAAACAGAAATTAAAGGATAAAAGACACCATAATAGAGGCTCAACTTAAATGTATACCCCAAATTAAAAAACATAATAAGAGAACAAAAAAAATGCCACTGTGGCTAAACAAAGTAAAAGAATCAGTGAAAGGCAAAAAGTGGAAGTTAAATCCTAGTGAGGAAAATAGAAAGAAGCATAAAGTCTGGCAAATGAAGTGTAAAATATAATTAGGAAGGCCAAAAAAGAATTTGAAGAACAGCTAGCCAAAGACTCAAAAAGTAATAGCAAAGTTTTTTTGCTAAGTACATCAGAAGCATGAAGCCTGCTAAACAACCAGTGGGTTCACTGGACGATCGCAATGCTAAAGGATCACTCAAGTCCCCCCCAAAGAAGAAAAATGGATACACATGAAAGCAGGCAGCCACTCTCTCCCTTTAAGAGGACAGCACAACTCCTGTCCTAGAGGATTCCTCAAGCCAGCACAGAGGAAGAAGCCCTGGAACATGGAGGCACTTTTTAGTGTTCTAGAAGTAGGTCTAATTACACTTCAGGATGGAACTGATTGGTTCAGTACTGGAAATGTCAAGCAAGGATTCATAACCTCTCTCTTCTGGTCACAGATACAAATGCGCCCCTAACACTCACCATATATTTAGTAGTCTATGGGAAAAATCAGTGTTCTCACTCCAGCTCCTAGGACAGGGACCCACAACGCAATTGCCAGTACCACACCTCCCTCAGCAGAAACCATGGAGTGAAAGGGCCATGGGGAATCAGGCTCCACTCATTTCTAGGGCTCCTCCAGGTCAGGGTTGAGGTACATGGGTTATGCAGTGCAAGAAAGTTTGTAACACTGCTGCCAAGTTGATCAATAGAAGACTTCACTCTCCAGGGCTGTAAAGCCAGCACTAGATTAAAATATAAGTTGGTACTTGAAGAAGTCAGCTCTTGCCAAGCTCCTTCCCCAGCACTCTGGGCTGTTTGTGAAGAAGCAAGAGACAGTTCAAGTCATAGCCAAAGATTTTATAAAAATAGGAAAGTTTTGGTCTTACAGAAAGAGAAGACTTCAGCTTATATTAGGGCACATCATTAGCAGGAACCTGCAGGATCTGGCAGCATTTCACCCCTCCTCCCCGGACACCTCCCCAAGAGAACATTCAAGGGTCATGAATAGGGATCCCAGAAATCCATTTGCCAGGGAAAAAATGTATAATGTGTTTTTACAGAGAATCTTTAGTTTTTACACTGAGAAAAAAACAACTAAATTTTACTGAAAGTACCAGTGTCACTTTTTTAATGTGCACAACCCTCCCCCTCTGTGGTTGATTTTTGAATGCGCTTTAAATTCACATAGCTAAACATACGCCAATAAACTGCTTGCGGCGTATAGAGGTTACTCAGTGCCATATAGGGGGTCGTGTTTTAATGCATCTTAAATTTCACTACAGCCTCCGCCCATGAGTAATTAAAGTTATAAAAAGATGCTGAAAACTTTAAAAGTCACCCGAAAGACGGGTGACTTTTAACACCCATAAATTTGGTAAGGACAAATTTAATGTTGATGGTAACCTGCTGTTCTGTACTGTATGCAGCAAGGCTGTAGATGACATTTGAAGGCAGACAATCGCAGAACACATGGAAAGAGCTAAATTGACTGAAAAGAAATGAAAGAGAGGCTGAAACAGCAGGGCCCTTGACAACAGTAAAGAAACAATACCCTGTGACTGGATCATTCCAGCATTTTACAACTGTAAATAGATCAATAAAACATTGTATTCAACTGATACGTATATATATTCTGGCTAGGGAAACTAACATTCAGTGTTTCATTTTAAAAATCCATGTTTTTCCCCCAATTATGTTTTTTTAATTGGAGAATTTTAAAATCAGAGAAAACTAGGATCCCTGGTCATGAGATACATTCCTAGCACAGATACACACATGGCAACAGAGGCAGGAAGACCAATGTCCTATCAAGTACCAATATCCTAAACCAAAGAATAAAACTTCTCCACTACAACGAGCAACTGTGTAAAGACCTGTGCTGAACCAGAGCAGTGGCTGAATTGATGGACATGGCAAACCTGACTTTCTCCAGCATTCTCTCTCATAGAATCCTGCAATAGCAGAAGTCAGAGGGGCTTCAGCCATGACCCTCATTGGCTTTGTCATCTAAGTGACTTTACCATTATATTCTTGGACACAATGAAACTCCAGTAATCCCCATGGAAGGATGTTACTATAGCCCTTTCCCTGCTTTCTGCCCCCACTCCAACACACACCCTTCCTTATCACATTCAGTCCCTTCATCCATTTCATAGAAGGGGCCTGCTCTGGTCATAGCTCATCCCGGGCTGTATTGTCAAGAGGTGATTGGAGCACATCTGAGTTCTTGGCCTCCTTGCTGAGCTCCTGCTGTTCTTTCATTTTCTGGGATTTGGCACGGTCCCAGTCAGTTTTTACACTCTCATTATTCCAAACCACAGAGGTCTCAGTGTCGCTGATGTAACCATCATCACCGGTGTAATGTGTTGGGTAAACCAGCAGTGGTTCCACTGAAAAGGCCAGCAAATTCCGGTTTTCAAAATGTTCCATATATTCAGAGCTGTTCAGAAAAGGGAAAAAAAGGGGGAGGGGGATGTCACGTCTTCTGCATTTACCCTACAATCCATCTTCAGCCTCCCACACCAGTGCATTAATCCTTCCATTTACCCTGCTTCACTCCAGACACCCTTCATCCTCCCATTGCGGCATTCAAACCGCACATCAACTTACTTAATCTTCTAACCCACAACCCTTCCAGTCCGCTCCCGAGAGAGGGACATTCATCATCCAGAAACGTTTGTCTTTCCCTAAAAGAACAGCAGCTGTGGAAAAACATGGCAGCACCAACAATTCCTAAGAAATGAGTGTTTTAGAGCCCTCTACAACCCCCACCCAAGTAGCTCCAACCAGATCTCAGCCTCCTGGGGCATAACTAGGCTACAAAAGCCAGAAGCCAGCTTGTTACTACTGCCATGTGGGAATGAGCTTAGGACAGTCAGGAAAAACACTGCTTGAACCAGGCAGCGTTGCTGAAGATGGTCTGAAGGTGTGATGTCAGCTCTCACTGACAGGGCTCGGTGGCCTACTTGATTCTCAGTAAAGTGGCAGATTTTAGAAGCTATATCAAGGAGCAGACTGGACTGCAAGTCCCTTCACAGAAATTCCAGTACAGTGATCAAACTAGTCAACAGTGATGGGGCTACAGCAGGCTCATGCCTTTGCTGTGGAGGAATTCCTAATGGCTTTTTTGTCAAAACAGAAAATTCTGCAGGAAGTGTCTGATTTCACCCAAGTTTCTCGGGTATTCATCAAAAAACCCCATGGGTGCTGAAGACAAACATTTCTGGTTGTTCAATAAAAAAATCAAAAAGCTTAAAAAAAATTAAGAAAAATGTAGGGCTGTCAATTAATCACTGTTAACTCATGCGATTAACTAACAAAAAATTAATCACGATTAATCACACTTAACAATAGAATAACATTGTAATTTATTAATTTTTGTAATTGAGCGACAGCCCTGGAAAAATGTTAGTTTTCATTCAAATTTTTCATAGGAACTGTGATGTGTCATTCCATATTCTTTATGAAATTATGCTTATCATATGAATGACATAACAGATATACTTTATGTCAGAGGGCTCATGTGAGATATCATTGGAAAGGTTATGATTTACTGAATGTGATTATCCTATTTGTGTGCCTGTATCATTTTTGTATCTGAACTTAGGAATATTGACTATGTATTTGTATTTCAATTATGCTACTTTGGGTGAATCCCACTGCTAACACTTCAGGTACAACAATGGAAAAGCCAGACAGGGTGGATGGCCCATCAGCGAGGACAATGATCTGTGAAAAGCTTGGCCTTCCTGTGGATGCTCCATACTGCCACTGACTCATGGACGCTGGGGGGTCTTGTCACCAGATACTAGGTTTGCGCCACACATTACCTGGGACTTCTTGTAATTTTCCACTGTAAGGGAAGGGGGGGGTCAAGTTTGCCTTCCTCCCCCCTTCATGGCCTGTCTGCCCAAGAAGAAAGACTGCAAAAGGGAAGGCAAGGTGGAAGTCCAGACTGCAGGGCTGGTCTTACCATGAGGCAAACTGAGGTGGCTGCCTCAGGTGCCAGACTGTGGGGGGCGGGGCACCCGCCACTAGGACCCCAGAGTGTAGAAAATTGTGTCTGCTGCTGGTGCATATGTACTCTCTCTGCTCGAGATGTACAGAGATGGTGGAGTGCTGTGCTGGAGGAAGGAGGGCACAAGAGATATAACAGGTGGGCCGGAGATAAGGTGAGAGGGAATAACAGAAAGCAGCAGGAGCTGCAGGGAGAGAGGAGAAGCCACTTCTTGTGTACCTCTCTAGCACCCCCAGGAGCCTGGACTGATTAACACCAGCTTCTCAGGGAGCTTCCTGTTTCCTGCTGCTTCCCTGAACCCACTTGAGGAGAACAGGCAGTCAACTGAAGTAGTAGGAGCCAGTTAGGCCCTTAAGACACTGATAACTTCCCTCACTCAGGCCCTGCAACCAGCCTGCTTATTTGTCCCCTTCAATTGAGTGTTGAGAGCCACTATAGCTGGCACAGAATGGCAGTCATGAGTGAAAGAAGAAAACACCCCTCTGGGGCAGCAGTCAGAAAAAAGAAAGCAAAGGAAGCTTTTCTATCTAAGCAGGAAGGAGCTCTCCTGAGATACATAGACACAAATGTTTATAGTGAGCCTTCCGGCCCCAGTGAGGATGTGAGTGGTGAGGAGATGCCTGATCTTCCAGTTAGTCAGAGTGCAGGTGACCTGGCAGCTACTGCAGCATCCATATCTCCATCTCAAATGGATGTAACCATGCACATTCCTGAAGAAAAGTGTAGATCAGAGAAGAGTGTGGTGGAGGTGCAAGAAACAGCTGCTGCTGAGTTTAGTTCCTTAAGTCTAGATGATCCTGGACTGTGGACCCACTTGAGAAGTAGCCTGAGGGACTTCCTTGTACTGAATGGTCCACAGCAAGTGAAAAACTTCATGTTTGCCAAAGACAATTAAAATAGAAGTTTCCATCCAACATATTACTGGCATGAAATCCCCAGTGGTGACAAAGTGGAGAGGCCATGGCTTATGTACTCAAAAACCCAGAATGCTGCATACTGTTTTGGTTGTAAACTCTTCCAGTCTAATGTTCCAGCCACATTGGGTTCTAAGGCCTGGAAAAATCTGGCTAGAAATCTGGTATGCCAGGAGAAGGCAGCAAATCACCAGAGAGCATTGCATAGGTGGAAAGAGATTGAGGTGAGACTAAGGTTAAAGGCCACCATAGATGATCAGCATCAAGAGAAGATTGCATCAGTCTCTCTTTACTGGCAAAATGTTCTGAAAAGCCTCACTGCCATTGTGAGAATGTTTGCTACCCAAAATTTAGCACTGCATGGCACTTCAGATCAACTGTATGTGCCAAACAACAGAAACTTCCTTAAAATTGTGGAGCTGATGGCTGAGTTGGATGCTGTACTCCAGGAGCATCTAAGAAGAGTCACCACCCAAGAAATGTACACACACCACTACCTTGGAAAAACAAATTCAAAATGAGATCATACAGTTACTGAAAACAAAAGTCAAACAGAAGATTGTGGCAGATCTGAAGTCAGCAAGATATTACTCTGTTATTCTGGACTGCACACCTGACATCAGCCATACGGAACAAATGACTTTAATGGTGTGTTTTGTAAAAACAGAACCTAGTGAAAATGTTTCTGCAATGGTGACCGTCAGAGAGCATTTTCTAGAATTTTTTGACATTGATGATAGATTTGTCATACCTGCTCCTGTAATGCTTCTTAAAAAACTGGAAGATACAGGAATTGCGATAGCTGACATGAGAGGTCAGGGCTACAATAATGGTGCCAGCATGAGAAGAAAAAAAAAAAAAAAAAAAAAAAAAAACAGAGGAGTGCAGACACGGAACCGAGAGTTAAACCCTCAAGCTTTTTTTGTCCCATGCAGTTCTCATTCATTGACCTTGGTGGTCAGTGATGCAGCATCAGCTTCTAGGGAGGCTGCTGAATATTTTAATGTAATTTAAAGCATCTATGTATTTTTCTCTGCATCAACTCATCAATGGCAAATTTTGAAGAAACATCTGGGAACATCCTCTCTGACACTGAAACCACTGAGTGCCACATGATGGGAAAGTCGAGTGGAGACGATAAACCCTATCAAACACCAAAATTGGGAAGATAGATGATGCCATAGTTGCCATTATGGAGGATAATGCTATGACAGGAACTGTTTGTGGGAGAACAGTGGCAGAGGGAAATGGAATCACCAGAAACATACATAACGTCAAATTTCTGTGTGGCTTAGTGTTGTGGCATGACATACTGTTTGAAATAAATGTTGTAAGCAAGAGACTCCAAGGTGTTGACCTTGATATATTTGGAGCAATGGAACAACTGGACAAAGCAAAGTCATACCTACAGTCTTACCAGTCAGATGAGGGATTTCAAAACATTCTGAAGAGTGCACAGAAGTTGGCAGAGAAACTTCACACTGAAGCTATTTTCCCACCAATTTAAGAATACAAGAGTCACTGAAGAAGACGACATTTTGATTACGAGGCACAGGATAATCCCATAAGAGACCCCAAGCAACAGTTCAAAGTTGAATTCTTTTACCAGGTGCTAGACTGTGCAATACAGTCAGTTGAAGAACGTTTCATGCAACTCAAGGAACACAGCAGTATATTTGGGATGTTGTATATGATATTCCAAAACTCCTCACTATACCTGAAAAAGACCTACACCAGCAATGCAGGGCACTAGAGACAGTGTTGACACATGATGACATGCGTGATATTAATGCGAGTGATTTAGGTGATGAACTGAAAGCCTTTTCAAGATACATTTCAGCAGGATCAATTCCAAAGGCTGATCTGGAATGTATGTGCACAAATAAGATGACCACCCTCTTTCCAAATGCTTTTTTTGCTCTGCGCATACTTCTAACTTCCTGTAACAGTTGCCAGTGGAGAACGCAGCTTCTCCAAGCTGAAGTTAATTAAAACACATCTACGCTCCACAATGACACAGGAGAGGCTGGTCGGCCTTGCAACCATCTCAATAGAGCATGAGCTGGCCCAGACTGTGGACCTTCAGGACGCAGTTCAACTCTTGGCAACCAAGAAGGCACGGAAAGCACCACTTTGATTATTCAAACAGATAAAAATGCCAGTGTTCACTATGCAGACAAGAAAAGTTACATTTGCTGTTCAGGCGTTTGAAAATTAAGTGTTACTTAAAATTTTTGAACAAGGCATTTTAAGTTGTTAGTTCTCCTTTATTGGGATAGGTAGCAGAGCAGTAGCATGAGACGAGTAGAACAAGAAGAAGGCAGAATTGAGACCTTTCAAACTTTTGGCCCAAGCGAGGGGACATGGGGGCATTATTTGAGATCCTCGCCTCAGGTGCCAAAATGTTGTGGGCCAGCCCTGACAGACTGAGACAGGGGTCTAGTCTGAAAAGGACTGTAACTGGAACTCTGAACCACAGAAGCTTTGCAAACTGCCCACAGCAATATCTAGCGTGAAAAATACTATTTGTAACCAATTTCTTTAGTGAAACTAGCTTAGTTTGTGTGTTTTATTTCATTTGCTTAATCTGCTTTGTTCTGTATGTTACCCCTTTTACCACTTAAAATCTGCCTTTTATAGTTAATAAAATTTGTTGACTATTAAACCCAGTTTCTGTAATTTCTAATGGGGGGGAGGGGGAGAAGTGTGCACATCTCTCCCCACACTGAGGGAGGGGGCAAATTTCATAGTACATCTTTGGGTCTGCGCTCCAAGGGAGGTGGACATCTGAGTGCTGGAGCAAGTCCCTTAAGCTGATTCTTCCCAGAGCTGACTGCAGCTGGGCGTGTGCCTGCCTGTGTGTGTTAGAGGAGGTTTTAAGCGCCTGGCTCAGCAAGACAGACTAAAGGGGGCCCATGCTGGCAGAACAGGTAGACTCGGTGGTATCTAGGCACATCAGGTGGCTTCCCAAGGAGTCCAACCCGTCACAGGAACAAAAACCATTTCCCAACCAGCTCTAGTTAGAACCTCTCACAAGCTCTCATGCTGCTTCCAGTGACAAGCAGGAAAATGCTGAAGTAGCCTCAAACCCACTCCATATGCTACTACTGTGAGGCTTCACTGCCAAGTTCAGAACACAGGGGTTTTTCCCTGTTCAGCTACAGCAGCTGACTACAGACTCCATCTCTGACTACTGCTGAAGCAGCAGCAAAGAGTGTTTGTTCAAAGCTCTGCCTGCAACAGGCTTCTCACTTCAGAACACAATGTTCCAGGATCCCCTTCACCCATGCACCCACCCTCCCTATAGGCTGATACACCCTTCTTTCCCCAGCACTAGGCCCCAGAGGATGCAGTCCAGACTCACACAGGGTGTTTATCAAACATGACAGGAAGAAATTCATCCACAGGTAAAATCTTGGAGAGTGGCTCAGCTGCCAGCAGCTTCTGGGCACCCTGCAGGGACATCACATAGGCTAGAGTCCAGTAAGAATAATCTGCCTCCACCAGGTTCCGCACGTGAGGCACAGACTTCTCTGGATGCTCCACCTGCATTCGCTTCCTCCCAATGTAACTGGGGGAGACAGACAGCAGCACAAGATTATCTTTTAGAAAGAGACTCACACTCTAGCTCGGGGGTTCTCAAACTTCATTGCACTGCGACCCCCGTCTGACAACAAAAATTACTATAGGACCCCAGGAGGGGGACTGAAGCCTGAGACCATCCAAGCCGCACCACTGGAGGGGGGGAGGGGAAAGAGAAGGGGGCAAAGCCAAAGCCCCACTCCCCCAGGCTGGGGGGCCGAAGTCCAAGGGCTTCAGCCCCAGACAGGGGGCCTGTAACCTTAGCCCTGCTGCCTAGGGCTGAAGCCCTTGGGCCCTGGGTCCCAGCAAATCTAAGACAGCCCTGATAACCCTATTAAAATGGGGTCCCGACCCACAGTTCGAGAAGTGCTGCAAGCAGCAGTTAGGGCCTCATGCAGGAAAGATCGGGTGGAATTCTCTGGCCAGCTTTAGGCAGGAGGTCACATTAGATGATCGTAATAGTCCCTGCTGGCCTTAAAATAAATAAATAAAAATCTAGGAAATTCATGCCTGGAATCAGTCAGCAGAGGTGGAGCGCAGAGGTGGCAGGTGCCCTTGTAGCATAGGGCAGCAACTTCTGGCATAAAAATAAATCCACTTTCTGGTTAACAGAGTACATGGTCCTCTCTGAAGTTGTGTTTGCGGCACAGAAATCTTTTGTAGTCATCAGTGGGTGAGCTACCCTTTCCTTATTCAAATCCCTTTCAAAAAGCCACTTCTTCCTAATGCCTACAAAAAGCAAGTTTATAATAATCAAAGGGTAGGTTATCTCCTAGTGTCCCCTTACTCTTCTCTCTTTTAGACTGCAAGCTCTTTGGGGCAGGATTTACGTATTGTACAACACCGAGTGTACTGCCAGAGGTAAACAGATAATTAAAGACAAGCGCCCAGGGAAGCTGAGTAGAACATCCGTATAACCTTCTGATCTTCTGCACTTACATCAAGTCCCAATCCAGACCCTCTTCTTCCAGGTCATACATCAGATTCATCAGCCGTCGTTTAAAGAATATTTCAAATCGCAGGTCATCCTCGAACACAACTGATTTCTCCAGCCCTCTCTCCACAATCTAACAATTTAGCAGAACAGAAGCCAAGTCAGAGAACCTGAAATGCCTGCCCCTCCTTCGCCCCACCCCCCACGACATGTAATTTATCTCCCCTTCTTTCACAGCACTGGTATCTATTGACTTTTAGTGCTGAGGAATTAGCTCTCTCTTGCCTCCCAACCTCTTCCATGTGTATTCCCTTTTACCACTGCTAGGGCACATCTAGGCGTTATGAGTAAGGTTCAGATTTTGTCAGTTATTTTTAGTAAAAGCCATGGACAGGTCATGGACAACAAACAAAAATTCATGGAAGCCCGTGGCCTGTCTGACTTTTACTAAAAATAATGGGGGGAGGCCTGACGAGGGGATGACTGAAGCCTGAGCGCAGGGGTGGGGGAAGAAGAGAGGAGAGTCTAAACCCCGCTGCAGGGCCCCCCACCACTCACGGTGGCTGTAGAGGAAAATGTCATGGTGATCTCTGAAAGTCACGGAATCCATGGCCTCCATGACAATCTTATCCTTAATCATGAGATCTGCAAGACTGCTCCCAACCTGCTTTGTATAAATATACCCATTATGGCTCACACAATAACCCAAAAAACCAGAGGAGGGCACCACCCTGCTACCTACACACTCCTCTCACCCAGCTAAAACAACAGTGTCAGCATGTGAATTCCTGCTCAGTGCAGGGACGATGCAAGTCTCTGGATGGTCCTGAGCATAACACCCCACACACACACGATCATATGTCCCTGCTTATTCTTTGTGCAACTGCAAACCCTGCCAAGAGCAGTGGGAATGCTGGAAATGGTAGAACCATGGCAGGAGCACAAATTGAAAAGGTCCTGGCTTGGCTATCACACCCAAACAGAACAAGTGTCCTGAAGGGGTCAGAAGCACCAAGATCCCTGGAGCTCTCCTGAGTATGCAGACTCTCTCACCTCCTTCCAGATCTTATAGTGACTCAGAAAGCAGCCCAGCTCCCCTTTGGTCAGTGGACGGCCATGGTATGGATCCTTATATCCTGGCAGCATCTGAATCCCCATGGCTTCCACCTCACTGCTATTCATGGCTCTGCAACAAGCACAATGTGGTTAATGCCTCCGTCAGCACAGAGCAGCAGCTGGCTTTGGAGTCTCTGCTAATGCTCATAAATGCAGCTTCTCTCCCCAAGAAATCTCCAGGTCACTTTATTTTAAGCCTCTCTCTTTGCAGAAGAGATGATGGAAAACAGAACAGAAGATCCTAGGATTACTCATTCTCATAGCCAGTTTATAAAGAATGCAGGCAATTTAGGTCATTACCACAGCTGTTCTGGCAACAGCTCAAGGCACTACACAGCCATTATCTTGTTTCCTCACCCTGAAGAGCCTTGTGTGCACATGCAGGGAAGACATTATTAGAGGAACTATACAGGCTATTCACTCAGCAGCCTCTTTGTCCATTGACAGGGTGGGATGACAAAAGCAAGGAAGACAAAGCCTTACAATCCATAAGGGGCTTCCTACGGCAGAGAACTTTATGAAGTGACTGGGAAGCACTGACACCCAGAGCATCTGGCTCCTCCTCCTCCCCCCCTCCATCAAGCAAGGGAGTTGCCCTGCTTCCCTGCATCTCTAAGAGACAGCATCAGCTCTTCCCCATTGGAATATCCCGGTTCCTTATTATCAGGTGTTGGACTGGGCACATGCGTGTTCTCTGGATGCACTCACTTTCCATCCACAGCCTCAATGATTTTGCAGTCGATCTGCTGTTCGTACAGTGTCCGCAGCATTCGCTCTCGTCGATCTGCCCTGTGCTTTAAGTTAATCATGAAAACCTGAGGAAATAAAATCCATGGCCATGAATGTGCAGGGAGGTCCCTACCACACCCAGGGAGGCAAGAACTCAACTGCAACCTTGATGCATCCTGCACTGAACCCAAGGGAAGAGATACCCTGTGCTTCATTAAGACCTAGCAATGCAGCTCAGGCATTAGAGAGTCTGAGGTGACCACAGGAGGAAGCCCGTAGGCTCAGCTTGTGCAAACTAAACACTATTCATCATCTCAGTAATGTGCCTGTATGGAGCAGAGTCCTGACTCACCTCATCAAAGCCCATCTTGTCAGGGACCTTTGGCAGGACGGACAGGTATTGTGAAGGTTCCACTGGAGGGTTCTTCACTAAGGGAAAACCAAGAAATGGAATGTGAATGGGTTTCTGTAAGACATTATCTTCCAGACATAAGGCCAAGGGACCTCTCTTAGTCGCCACAACTCCAAATGGGGCACAGCTACCACCACACTAGGAACAGCCCTCCAAACAAACCACCACGGAGTAACCAGGTACGAACAATCCACTGGGGCTTGAGAAAGAAAAGGATCCTCTAATTTTCTATTCCTCAACTGATCTCCTACATCCCTTCTCGCTGCTAGCCTTTGGCCAGTGCCCCACAAGTGCCTGACATGGATGTTTATGCTTATTAGTCCTGTTGACTGACATACTGCTTCTCATTTATTATTTACTTCAGGTTTTTCCTCGTTGGAAGGAGATTCTCCAGTCTCAAGGAGTGAGCGAAGAGTATTTAACCAATTAATTAGAGAACGTTTGCAGGCAGATTTGAACAGGAAACCGCTGTCTAGAGCTGCATTTACAGAAATATTCTGTCTCTAAAGACAAGGAGAATGCAAGCTTGTGCAGCTGAAGCCATGCTCTGTGTGCAGCCAACGAAAAAAAATAAATCAGAGGAATAAACCTCTGGCATCAAATTCTCAGATACATAAAACTATTTTAAAACAGTTATCATCCTGTGACCTGGGCTCTCCCTCTTGCATTACTCAAATTTACAGAGATGTGTATTTAAATGGCTAGGAATCAGTCCCCGTCCCTTTAAGTGTTAATAGGGAGAGGTCAGATACTTAACTTTAGTAAAAGAATCTCTGTGCAGCCAGGACCAAATATAAAGAGATACTGTGAACTGTACCTAGGAATGTACCCAGGGGAAGAAAACATGGAGTCCTACAAACTCTCTATACTGTACACCCCAGAATTCAGATTACTCCACACACAACAGGGTGGATGGGCACTGCCATACAGGCCCTGCAGACACCAAGAGAGGAGGGGAAAACTGAAAGAGGCCTGTGTGGCACGCTGCAGTCACAGGAGACGAGGGGCCCTAAAGGTTAGTGGAAAAAGCAACACAGTCAAGTCAGGAAGAAATGCTCTCTGTTTTTAAGTGGTACAAACAGCAACCACAGCAGCTGAACAATTTACCCAGATGTCAACAGGCAAGACACCTCACTACTTGTAGCAGACACAAGCAGCTCCAACATGGCCAAGAGAACTGTGGAATCATTTGAGGTAGGGCTTCCATAGAAACTACCATTCTAGCCATCCTGCTTTAACAATTCCTCAATACATTTTCCTCCTTCCATCCAACCACCAGCTTTGAGGCAGATGCTGCTGAATCCCCAGGACAGAGACAGGTCCCAAATTCAGAATGTCAGAAGTAAGAAGGAAAACCGGCTAAGCAATTCTCAGTCCAAGCCTACGAATGTTCTGTTTCTATTGGCATCCAGCACTTACCCATTATCTCCAGCTGCACATGCATGAAGCTTTCCATCTCATCCTGCATGGTGCTGTGGGCTCTCAGTGGCACCGGCAGGAAGCCATAAACCTCTTTGTTGCATACAAACATCTGGACCTCTGAAATTAACACACAGAGTGAGCTAAATGCTGCTCAAAACCCACTCAGTGGCAAACCCAGCCCACATCATGGGACTGCATAAGGCACCCATGTCCCTGGCTTCGTAAGTCAGCCCAATAAGACATCACGTGGCCTGCATGAGACAACTGCATTGCAGAGGCATATTGTGCAGTGGCCTGTACAAAAATGTGAACCCAGCCCATTATATACAATTGTTTATACAAGTACAAGACAAAGACTGACACTCCCTGGATTGTTAAGCTGGAAGAGCTGTGCTAAAGTCACAGGTTGGTTTGAGTTGGGAAAGGAAATGTTTGTAGTTGAAATCGCTTAAATGGGTTTTCCTGGTTACTGTTTCATGGAATGATGTCTCCATTCCTTTTTGAACATTGCTCATTCACTATGGCACTAAAAGGTCAGGGGGACAGGGAGGAGCAAGCTTCACCATCATGGTTGCGGCTCCCCTACCATTTCCTGGAACCCTGGGATCCGCCATGACACCATTGGGCCTTTGTCATCTTGATCCTGAAAGATGTTGTGACCAGGCCAGAGAAAGGGAACTAAATGACATCATCCCCTCCATCGGCTTTGCCTAAACCTTGAATGCCTGAGAACTGAGCGTTGGGTTCCAGCTATTGTTCCTCCCTCATGTCATTTTCCTTCCTGGTCTTATTTCTCCTGTTTCTAATTTCTCTTTTTGCCTTTGGCCTAATAAGAGTCAGGCTTTAGCTGGCCAAGACAACTCCACATTTGCACACTGGTATGACAGGAGAAGCAACAAAAAGCAATTCTTTAAACAGACCGACCAACACTGGTAAAAGTTTGCCACGTCTCAGAGTAGCTGATAAGATCATATACTGGTCCTATAGATTCCAAGCAGCAAGGTTGCAAGCCAAAAACAAAACCCTCACAAAACCTAGCAGAGACAGATGCTGCATTTTCTATCTTTCTCTCTTTCCATTTGTGTGCATTTATCCTGTTTGGTATTAAAGGAAACAGGACTTTCAACAGCAGCAGCAGCTCCAGACCATCTAAACTAACTTTCTCTCATCTCCCCACAAGAGGGCAGCTAATACCATCTAAAAGACTGTAAAACAAGTGTTCCCCCCCATAAAATACTCTATACAACTAGGGGGGAGGGATAGCTCAGTGGTTTGAGCATTGGCCTGCTAAACCCAGGGTTGTGAGTTTAATCCTTGAGGGGGCCACTTAGGGATCTGGGGCAAAATCAATACTTGGTCCTGCTAGTGAAGGCAGGGGGCTGGACTCAATGACCTTTCAGGGTCCCTTCCAGTTAGGAGACATGAATAAGGAAAGCTATTAAAATGAAAGCCTGAGTTAATGCAATATATTTCAAATCCTTTAATTGTTTTTTCTTCTTTTTCTGTGACTTTAAATGGTTAAAAAGATTTTATAATGGTGAGTGTTACAACAATAGAAGTCATAGCAATTACTTGATAGGAGACCCCCAAACCACGCCTAACTGAACTATTGAGCGCTGCAACAGTAAACAAGGGTTTTGTTAATATCTTATCCCTTGTTGGGCCCAAGACAACCCCTTACCAACACAGCAGACAACCTAATCCCCTTTCAGAAAAGGATGGCTGCAGGCTCCTCATCTCTCAATCCAGAGCAGAGCTACACACCCAGCCTATGCTAGCAAGAAGTGCATGAGCAGCAATATCCATTAACTCACCTGCCTGCTTGCAGGCAAATGCAAAGACAATGATGTCATCAAAAGACCAGGTGTAATCTGGGTGTGGTGGGTAGAAGACAAGGTCCCGGGAGGCCTCTTTCCGCAGGTCAATCAGGAAAGTGGAGTGCACCATGGGGACAGCAAAGCAGCCACGGCGATCTCGTTTTCGAATGGGAATGTAGGCAGGAGTACGTTTGTAATAACCCTAAAAAGGGAAAAAGGAGAGTCTTGCAAGAGCTCTTATGAGAGGGGGCAGCTGGGAGCTACTCATGCATGCAATGGATCCTGTGTGCAAAGTACTGGTCTACACAGAGACTGGAGGAGGAACATATGACAGAACCCCAGGCCTCCTCCTACCTGCGAAGTCATTCCACACCAGAAGTTAGAATAGGCAGCACGAGAGTCCAACATGGGCGCCACTACGGTCTTGTTCTCTGCCATCAGCAGGCCCAGGGTGTCTGGGTTTGTCAGGAGATTATCTGCATCCACAAACTGCAAACAGCAAAGAGACAACAAGCACAGTCAATTCTAATGCAGCCAGTCCAGTCCCTGTGTCAGCCTGGTGTGCTCCACCCCGAGCCATTCCTGTGCAAACCCTGTGAATGCTTTCCAACTACTCCTAAAGATACTCTCAGGATGTCC